CGCATGGTGTGGGAGCACACGCGGGGCCGCTACACGTGCACGCAGTGCCCCTACTCCACCGCCTCGCGGGACGAGATGACGCTGCACATCGAGGAGCACCGCAAGAACCCGCCGCCGCCCGGCCGCCTCGAGGGAGACATGGGTACGTGGCCTCGCGGCGCACGGGCCCGAGTCCCCCTGCAGGGGTGACAGTCACATGTCCTGCTTGGGGCAGCCCTGGAGGTGGCAAACGGGTGCTCGGTACTGCCCTTGGACCCAGAGGAGCACTGTGCTTGTGATTGTCCTTTTGGGTCATGGTAGGGGGAGATTTTTACTTGGCAATAGCCCCCACTTCCTTGCAATTAGCATTAATTAGTTGCAGGGAGCAATGCGGAGGGCTCTTGCATCCTCCTTCCTCAGCTTGGTGCCCCAAAGCTGCCTTGCAGCAACAGCCGAGCCTGGAGCGCTCCAGCTCATGCCCCAGGGCCAAGCGGTCACTCCAGCACCCTGACGCTGCCTTCCCTCTCCCTGCAGATTTCGGCGTGGGCATCACCTCCTTCCACACAAAGCTGACGCCGGAGATGGAGAACTCCCTGTACTCACAGCTCTGATGCAGCCTGGTTCCTGCTGGGCCAACTCTTTTCCTCGTTATTTCCCCCTGCCCTTTCTTTGTGCTCTCCTTTTCGCCTCCCTGACTGGGCACGCAGGGAGGTTGGGCATGGACCCCGTGCTGAGGGGGTCCCCCTTACACCCCCAGCCCCAGCATGGGGGTGAGATCAAGCCGCCCACTGCAGCGCAGTGGCTGGGGAGGGGGGGAACTTCTTGTTCTGGACTTTTCCTCTCCCTCTCCTTTTAATTTTTGGAAACTGTAAGCCCTGGAAAATCCTGCATCGCTCTCTTATCCTCTACCCTAAAAGGTTTTATTGCTTCAGATCCCAGGGTTCTCCCTAGAGCCTGGTAGGTTGCTCAGGAGTTAGCGGACTTCTCGGGAACGAGGTCTCTAAATAATAAATGGGAATTGTACAGGAGCGGCAGCTGGGCGAGCGTCTGTCCGTCCCAGTGCGGCTCCGTGACGCGGGGCTGGAGCCAGGGTGTCTGGAGGGCAAAACGGGGAGGGGGAGGAAGCACAGGCAGCTCCCGTGCCTGGAGAGGCCATTGCCGGGGGCAGGGTCCCCATGGCATCGAGGAGCCGCTGCTTGAGGGCACCTGGGGCAAGGAGGGGAGGAAGGGGAAAGGTTGGGGGCAACGGTGCCCGCTGCACCCACAAATGGGCCCCAAACCCCATGTGCTGTAAAAGAAACAGCACTTGAACTGCTTCCAACTGCATCCCAGCACCCCAGGATGGCACCGAAGGGACCCAACTCCCCTTTTCCAGGGTGCTGCAGGCACCGAGGGAAAGATGGATCCCTTTTCTCGGCCACGTGTTCCCAGTCCGTGTTCGCCTGCGCACAGGTGCCAGCCGGGCATGCTGAAACGCTGCCCGGCCTCGGGGCGGGAGCTGGCGCCG